CATGGTGGCTCCTATTGGAATAGCTTTGCCGCCGTTAACAAATTCTGGAAGAACGTAAAAGCGGCTCGCTGAAGCCACTGGAGAATGCCAGAAACTAGAAGGGAACGGCGTTAGGTGGTTTCCCATCGTTTTACGGCCTTTAGCCTGCAGATGGGCCTTGTTCGGTGCCACACGGGGCAGCTAAGAACGCTCGATACCTGCACAACCCAGGGACAGCGTTCAGGCCAGAGTTGGAGCCAGGGGAACCCCAAATCCTGTGTCCTCTCTTCTCACGTGTCTGCTGATGCTTGAAACGTGCCGGCCGTGGGCTGGACTTCAAGCAGCTCGGCCGAGGCTGAAAGAACGGAACGGAGATTTCTGCCGGCTCCTGCTTCAGGGGAGAGTTTTGCGTCTGAGTCCGGCCAGTTAGCGGTCTGTTGAAATAAAGGTATCGATACCCAGAAAGAAGAATGTAGCAGAGCGTAGAGTCTCTCTACACCTGGTCATTCACAGCGTCTACAGCTCAGTATTCTCGGGGGATGAAACTGTGACCCTCGGTCACGAGGCCGCAGTGGAGACCGACCCCAAGATTGGGCCCCAGTGTTGGAAGCCTCAGCCGGGCGCAGGAAGTGTGCTCGAGGACACAGGAAGACACGCTCCTGTGGGAGTGGGAAAGTTCCAGAGAGAAGCAGGAACTGTTAAAGAAGAACCAGATGGAAATTCTAGAACTGAAAAATGCAGTATCTGGGAAAATTAAGAGGCGACTGGGGACGCCAGAAGGAAGACGCAGCACAGGATGAGCCGGTTGACAAATGACTGGCAATGAAGAACAGAGAGGACGAGATCAGGAACAGAAACCAGCAGAGCCTCGGGAAGCAGCGGGTCTGACCGACACGTGACTGATTGGAGTCCCAGAAGAGAGGAGCCAGGATGGGGCACACAGTGTGGAGAAATGACTGAAGATTTCCCAGATTTGGTGAAAGGTTTCAATGTCCAGATTCTCGGAGCTCCGTGAGCTGCAGGCAGAAGTAAAAAGGAAACCTCGCTTAGGCTCATGGTAGTCAAGGTGCTAAAAACCAACAAAAAAGAGAACATCTTGAAAGCGCCCGGAGGAAGAGAGGACCCATTCCGTATATACGGTCACATGAGATGTCCCGGCCTTCTCTGCAGAAACTGCGATCTCTTCAGAGTTTGGGGGGGCAGGGCGGTTAACCCAGAATTCTTTATCCGGCCAAAATACCCTTTGAGAATAGAAGTGAAATAAAGAGGTTTTAGTTACAATAGCCGAACATTTGTCATCAACAGATTTCTGTAAAGTGCTGAATCACCCAAGGATAGTCCTTCAGACGGAACGGAAGTGGCACCGTGTGAATACTCAGGTCTTCAGGAAGGAAGGGAAAAGACGAGAAATGATTAAATGGGAGGTAAAAATAAAAGAGGAATTTTCCTTTTCGTTCCCTTGAAATACGCCGGACGGCCGAAAGCAAAAACCACAGCACAGACGGGGGTTTACGCTGTCTGGAGAGGTGATGCGTGTGCCGCCTGTAGCGTGAAGGGACTTGGGGGCAACCACATGCGGACGTTTGCAATGTTCTTGCTGTTGTGCTGCGCTGACACCCCCAGACTGAGAAACCAGTGTGCCACGAACTCTGCAGAGCGGCTGCTTACGAGATAATGCTGAAAAGCCAGCGTATAAATTAAAACGGAGTGCAGCAAAACAACATTCAGTCCGCTTAGCCAAAAGTGGGCAGGAAGGAGGGGGCCGACAGAAAGCAAGTAGTAATGTGGCCCCTGTGGTGCCAGCCGTGTAAGGAGTCACGCTACATGTACGTGGACAAAACACTGCAGTGAGAAGGGATCAGCAGAACGGTTGAAGAGCCACTGATGTGGACCGTCTGAGAGCAGCACCCTTTTCTTTTTTCGTGTTTGTTTCTTTTTGAGAGAGAGCATGAGCAGGGGAGGGGCAGAGAGGGGGGGACAGAGGAGCTGAAGCAGTCTCTGTGCTGAGAACAGCGAGCCCGGTGCCCGGCTCGAACTCGCGAACTGTGAGATCATGACCTGAGCTGAAGTGGGACACGTAACTAACTGAGCCCCCCCTCCCCCGGCGCCCCAAGAGCAGCACTCTTAAAATAGGACACGGTGGGTTGAAAACGGGCGGGTCAAGATCTGTTGTGCCAGCAGGGAGCCCGAGTCGGCAGGGGTGAGTCGGCAGGGGTGAGCGTAGCAACAGCAGGTAGAGGAGACCTCAGGAGCGTGATGGAGGGCTTGTGGCCGAGGGGTCGCGCCGCACGAGTGCTCGGGTGAAGTACTTTTCATCTCACTGGAGAGGGAGGGCTTGTTGGGGGCCCAGGGGTCTTGGAAGGATCTGGTATCCTGGGGCAGGTGCAGGCCTGGCAGGTGAGGGCCCTCCAGGGACGGACGGACG